GAGAGAGAGAGAGAGAGAGAGAGAGAGAGAGAGAGAGAGAGACAAAAGATGGGCTCAAAACCAGCAGGACTAGTACTGCAATGGCTTATGCACAATAGGAGAGAAAGTGTGTGAACCTCGGGGCCCCTGGCTGTTAGTGGCAGGGCTCTGGTGATGCCAGAAGGACCCAGAAGTCTCCCCCAGAAAGACCCCTGCACAGCTCTCTGTCTGCAAGAGCTGGGCTCTCACCAGATCTCAAGGAGCCTTCCTAGGTCCCATGGCAGCTGAGATTCCAGACATTGAAGACAAAGACAGCCCAGGAAGGCTGACTTGCCTAGGCACAGTAAGTAGGAGTCCTGCCATGTGCCCCAAACCCAGACTCATGAACTGGCTCCATCTGCTGTGGTCAGGCCAGTCTCCCACTCTCAAGCCTTTTCCATACTACAGTCTCCTCCACCTTGAATGGTCCCCACTCATCTCTCTGCACCCTCCTCCACCCAGTAAAATAAATGCCCCCTCTATTCCAGGAGCTGCTGGGAAATCCCCAGTTGCATCTCAGGTGGCACTGTTTGGACTGTGATTGGTGCACTCCACTGGGTCACCCAGAGGCTTGCAAGTGCCGGGGCTTTCTCCATGACTAGACTCTCCATGGGACAAGCCCAGGAATCTGTATTTCCAGCAAGCTCCCCAGGTGATTTTGAGGCACACAAAGCATGAGGATCAAGAGTGTGTCTTGAGAGCCTCCTCAAAAGTCAAAGTCCAGGTAGGGTTAGACCTGGGACATTCCTGACATAATCTAACTGAAGTAGCCTAGATTCTTGCATGTGGCCCCAGCAGGACTACCTGGGAGCTCTGGAGCCTCCTAAATTGTGCAGCCTTAAGCAAGTCACTTCTTCTCTCAACTCTCTCTCTCTCTCTCTCTCTCTCTCTCTCTCTCTCTCTCTCGCAAAAGGAAGGGCTAAGGCTTAGGGGTGTCTGGGCTCTTATGTGCTTAGAATTCCACTTGGTACCAATGTCCTATAAGGCCAACCATCGCAGGAAAAGACAATGAGGAGCTGGGGGTGAGCCCAGATGCCTCACCACTGCCAAGATGCACAGTCAATCCTTGTTCTTGATGTTCAAGAACAAGAGTCTCGGGCCAGACGAGGCCAAAGTCAGCCTGAAAGTGGCCTGACCTAGAAGGGCCCCGTGAGGAGCAAGCCGGTGTCTAGGTTATGGCAGAATCAGGCAGCGAGAGACTGGAGTTGGCACCTGGGGAGAGGTGTAGGCACAGGGAAGAACCTGAGAGTCAGGGCTCCAGCCCAGAGCTGTAAGGCCCATAGGGATCAGATAGCAGAAGGGATTCCCCAGACACGGGGGCACAGCTGCCACTCAGGGGTTCCCTGGCAGGGCACCCAGACAGCTTGACTCCAAGGGCTTCCACCTTATGGCGTGCAACATGGACGGTGTTCTCCCTACAGAGCAATGCCCTGGGACCAGGCACAAGGGCCACCCCCAGGAATCCCCCATCCTGAACTTGCTCAGCAGAACAAGCTCCAGCCCATTCCCTGCTTTGGCCAGCTGGGTACAGAAAGCAGCTGCAGATAAGGATGTTTTCCCAGGCCTCTTGTTTGGGAACTGGAGGCCTGAGCTCAGCCCTGGGATAGATGGCCACTGTGGGGTGGGGATGGAGGAGGGGTGACAGGCCGCAACAGGCTCAGCAGGAACTTTCTTCAGATCTATAATTGGCTCCCAGTAATTACAGGTGGCCCCACTCTGCCCTCTGGGGCCAGGCTGCCCAGCCCCTCCTGGCTGATTTGGGAGCGCTGCCAACAAAAGGGAAGGGCCTGAGAAGGTTTGAAGCCATTCAAAGGACTGGCCAACTGGGCCCTGGAGATTGGCATTGTTTTCTTAGAAGAAATGATGGAGAAAGAACTGAAGAAGTCCTGAAATTTGAAGATTACAGGTTGAAGATTAAGATTTGGTGCCCTGCAGCGTACCCAATGCACTCTCCAGCAATATCTTAACCTGGGAGGTGATCGATGTCATCCTCCTCTTTTACTCCCAAGGGAGCGCATCTTGGGAGTCACAGGGCCAGCAGCGGCAGGGCCAGGCACTGTTTGGCCCGCTGTGTCACCGACCGTTACATCTCCACTGTCACAAGGGATGGAGCCACGAGATATGGCTCGTCCTGGTTTGGGCCAGGACAATGGAGTTGCATTACTAGAAAACTGAGGAGCAGAGCCAGGCATTTGTAGGGGGCAAAGAGGTTTTTCTACCCAACCTGCCAGAAGAGTCAGCGGCCCCTCAGCCTCCTCTCAGATCCTCACCCTGAGAACTGCCGATCCTCTTCAGTTTCCTAACCAGAGTCCTAGGCCAAGGCTGTTTTGTGCTCAATCTTTTCAAACTTCTAAAAGTCAGAGGGGCAGTAAGTCCCAAATTTTATGCTCCGTGGGGTGTCCCCAGCCAAATGTCCAGGGACCCCTGTAAGACACACAGCCACCCAACTCACACGCTTTCAGAATCTCTTTATTAAAAATCTTCTTTTCTTCTGTAAAAACAAACACTTTGTGGTCAGTTACACGGATCAGGAAAAGCATAACAATTTATAAGACACTCAAATTCCAATAATTTACAAGTTCAAACTTAAATGAACTAGTTTTTTTTTTTCTCCTAAACTTGCAGAATAAACTGGTCCAGTTCAAGTATAATCTAAGAGATCACCGTGTTGGACGATTCAAAGATGGGAGACCCCAACGCTAATGGCTGCTACTCACACCAGCACTGCCCTTGCCAAATTCTCCCGGAGAACTGTAGAACACACTTTCCCCAGTGTTAACATTGAACAAGAAATTACACAGGCCTCCGTCACATTGACCCAGGGTGCAAGCCAATCTATTGCTCAAGGAAGCACCTGCTTTCAAGCAACTTTTTGGGGGAGACGCTTTGAGAAGTTTGACCAAAAAACATTAAAGAAAAAGCTTAAAAAAAAACCAGAAATCACTATTTTCCTGGTTGCTTTTAATACTGCATTGTGTGACACACATAGGAATAAAAAGTGCAAGTTATAGGGCCGGTGAAGGGCCAAGCCAATGGAATTATACAAAGATAAATAAATATATTTGTATAGAGATGCACATGCATAGCATCTTTGATGATTTTAAACTGAAGGCCGTGGCTGAAAGCAGACACAGCCTCTTCTCTCTCCCTCTTAGGGCCTTTCTCCAGCTTTTCAGCGTGAAGGTCAGTTCACCAGCCAGGGAGCCATTACAATGTTTGGGAACTCAGCCATCTGGGTTTCTCCCGAGACGCTGCTGGGGTGGAGGGGGTGGGGGCGGGCAAGGCTGCTTCCACTGTGCTGGGGAGCAGAGCTTCCAGCCTCTCTGATAATAACGCACGGTTCCAGTGGCTGATGGAGGCCGTAGGCTTTTCCCCGCCAGAGTCACAGAGCTCCCCTCACCGGGGATAAAGACACACAAGGTGAAAGGTTTCTGAAAAACGGAGGAGGCACAGCTAGCAGACCGAATGCTGCGGGGACCTGTGGAGTCCCAATCTTCAATCTTTTTTTTTTTGAGACAGAGCTCCCTGAGGGCCCAGGACCCATGACAGTGGGCTCAGCTTTCTTGCTTTTCCGGCCTCTGCTCACCACACAGGTCCAGACAGGTCTGCCTTCCTCTGATACTGCCTTAACTTCTCTCACAGCTTCCCAGCTGCTCTCTTCTGTCAGGGACCACAGGCTTCAAGGCTGGACACACGATCATTTTAAGTCCTGCATTTGCTTCCCTTCTGTGCCTCAGTTTCCCTGCTGACAAATGTCAGCGTTCATCTCTTTGCCCTTCTTCCATTAGTGCAAAGGTCCGAAAGTGCAGTACGAACGAGAACATGCGAACACATCCCCACACGACCCCTGCCCAGGCAGCCCGTCCACACTCGGGGAGGAGCCGCCTGTCCTCCTTGTTTTATTTTTTTCCAGCCACACCATGGTGGGCGCCTTCCAGGGAGTCTCGGGCCACAGACACAGCATCGGGTACTGTTGGATCTTCCTGGGGCGGGGGGCGGTCACTCCCTACGCCCAGCAGATCCTCAGTCCTCCTAGAACCTTTGTCCCCTTCTGCTGGAGCATCACAATGAGATCAGCAGCCCCGGCGTCGGGTGCTGATCCCATGGGGAAGAAGGGCTCTGTTCTTCTTCGTGACATTCTGACATCAAAGTCTTCACACATGCTCAGCCCCAAGCAGCCCTGCCCTTGCCTGGTTAGAAAGGGCTGCCCCACGTGCCACTTTTCAGCCCTGCAGCCTTGGACTTCCTCCGCTTTTCCCCAGCTGAGAGAGCATCTGAAAACCATCCCACCAGGAGGACTCTGGACCCCCAAGCAACCACCAAGGATGAGTCAAAGATGCCATCTCCTTGTTATTGTGCATCTCCAGCCAAAGCCCCCAGCTGCAGAAGCCAGTAGCACCTAAGCCCACACCAACTGCCGCTTTAACTGCAGGGAGAATACACTTCTATTTTCATTTTTACTTAAAATGAATCTATACAAAATTCATTGTGTAGAACAGAAAAAATCCTAAACACCTCCTGAAATCAAGAGCCAGGAAATAAGTTTCGAAGGAATTTATAAGAGCTTCCACAATGAAAGGCTCTTTTCTTTCTCCATAAAATTAATTTGAGTTTACTTTAAGGCATTTAAATTGGGAGGATTTATAGAATAATTGAGAGAATGAAAGAGATACTAAAAATGGAGGTTTTCCAAGCCAGGTGTGATGGCACATGCTTGTAATCCCAGCATACAGGAAGCTGAGGCAGGAGGATCGCTGTGAGTTCAAGGCCACCTGGGGTGAATTCAAGTGAATTCAAGGCTAGCCCGGACTACATAAAAAAAACTCTGTCTCAGAAAATTTTAAAAAATAGAACAACAAAAATCCCCAAATCATAAAAACAAAACCCCACAAAACTAAAAGGCAGTGTTTTTTTCAAGGCGGGATCCAGCTGGAAGAAGCGATGTACACAGAAACCACCCCCACTTCTGCCCCTTGGTTCTCTTTGGTGGCCCTCTCAGGTGTGCAGAGCCTGATTCAGCAGCGCCCCTGCGAGGGGTACACACAGGACACACGGGTGCCAGGCTGAGATTGGCTAAAGATTCACCGAAGGAGGGCTGGGGATGTAGCTCAGTGGTTCCGGCACCTGCCTTGGAAGCACAAGGACCTGAGATCGATCCCCAGTACCAAAAAAAAACCTCACGGAAGGGGCTCTCCAGACTCAGTCGGACCTGACCTGCTACATCCAATCAAGAATTTAAACACCATGAAATCCCTGAGAAGTTCGATTTTATGAAAACAAAATGATTCTTGGCATAGGAGGAGGGAGAGGGAAGAGGAAGGGGACAAAGGAAGAGAGAAGAAAAGCAAACTGAAAGGTTCTGGGGGAGAAGCAGGGTCAGCAGGGAGAGAGCCCTCTGCAGGCCGGACGTGCCAGGGGGACTCGGTCAGGGGTTCTACTGATCTCGGGAACGAGTAGGCCGCGTGCCCTGCATGGCTTTCATTTCTCTTCTGCGTTAGACAGACGGGCCCCACCTTGGCGAGCTTCCTCTTCTAGCTTCTAGCGGCAGCAGGGGCAGCAGCGGTCAGAGCTTTTTCCTTTGGAAGTGTGGCACCATTCCGCTGTCCTCGGGCCTCGGGCTGCCTGCCCCTCCCGCCTCCTTCAGGCTGTCCTCGGCCAGCTGGGACAGGTACTTCTGTGGTGGGGAGAGCGGGAGGTGTCAGTGCAGGCCTGGCGGGGCGGGCGAGGAAGAGGGTGTGCCCAGGTCCCCTCCTAAGCTCTGTGGCCACTGGGCGGGCCACCCCCTGCCTCACCCATGTTACTCCAGGACCCCACTATCTCAGTTTACAAATAAGATGCGTGTCTGGTAGAGAAAGTAGGAAGTTCAGATACTAACAAGAGCCACGACCTCCACAGCCCAACGGCTCGACTTGCGTAAGCCCAGTCCTCAGGAACACGGCCCTGCTTTCCAGAAAGAGCCCGGGCCCTAGGCAGCGTGTCTGTGTGTGAGGCAGAGGGAGCCAGCTGGAGGGCAAGAGACCACTGTCAGCCCAGCCTGACAGTGCAGACTCCCAGCCCCTGCTTCCTGTCGGGGCAGGCTCTGCAGGGGCGTGAGGGAGAAGCCCGGAGGTCCTCCGAGGGATTGAAAACGGGCCCATCTGCTCTACATTTGGGGCTCCCCGCAGCACACGACACACCCTCAGCCAACACGGCCTGCCAGCCGGGCCTGGCCTTGGAGCCGGAGCAGTGAGAGGACTGGGAAAGGCTGAGTGCGGCAGGGCAGCGGGCACAGTGAAAGAGCACTGGACAAAGAGGCAGAAGGGTTAGGACCAGCACAGTGGTTAAGTCTGTGGACTCCTGTCCGATGCTCTGGGTTCAAGTCCTGACCCTCGGCAGGCAAGTGACAGAATGTCCCTGCCGTCTGAGCAGCGGAGAGGCAGCAGCCACCCCTGCACAGCGCTGCTGTGAGAGTGCTGAGCACAGAGCCTCGCATGGACACAAGTGGCTGCTCTCCTACAGACGGCCTCCACCTGCTCCCCAGGTCACCCCCAGTGCGCCTGCTAGGTCTCGTGTGACTGAGACCAGGCGCTGGGCACTGCAGGGGTTGCCCGCAGAGCACAGAGGCTACTTCACCTGCTCCCTGCCTCGAAGGGCGATCCCCGAACCCCACCTTGAGGCTTCCTGGTGGGTGCTACTTTTACAAGTTGCCTGACGAAGGGGTCAGCCAGCAACTGCTGCTCCAGTCTGAATTCTTCACTTCTCACGCATGCACTCTGGAGGGAGGTGGGCGACGCTGTGTGGACGGAGGCATCCCGTCAAGGCCACTGATGGAAACCCTATCTGGGGAGCCGCTGGAAGAGGCTCTGGCTCCCGGCCAGGTGCACCGTGAAACCTGAACTGAGGTTGGCCAGTGAGCAGGGCTTAGCCAAAGTCTGCACCTGACTCATCTGGGGACCGCAGGAACGGCGCTGGCCAGCTATGTGGAGGGGAGTCTGTCTGGGGTGTGTCCCAGGAGCCCAGCGCATGGTGCAGCCCGCTGCCCCGGGAAAGCTACAGGCCCCAGAGAGCCTGAACACGTCTAACTCTGGGGCACAGGAAGCTTGGGGTGTGTGAGATAGGCCTTGGGGGTTAGCGACTCCCACCAGGGGTGCTGGGTGGGTAAAAGGTTCTCACAGCAAGTTACCAGAGCTTGCTGGAGAGACTGTTTAAAATACGGGTTCCAGGGGCCGGGGATTTAGCTCAGTGGTTTGGTGGCCTAAGGACCCAAGTTCAATCCCTGGTACCAAAAAAAAAAAAAAAAAA